AGAAAAACTCTGGGCACTTGCCGATGCAGATCTGACAAACGTTCACTCGAAGTGCTCCGTCCTGGAGAATTCATGAGCAATCATTTCATGGGCGATGTCCACCATATCAAACACTCCAACAAGGTTGTCTCATGTGCACCGCCGTCGTCAAAGATGATCGGCACCAGAGGTAAGCAGGACGAGCGGTTATAGTCCTAGATTGTTTTTCTCGTTCATTGAATAGATATCGCAGATTGCGCTGTGGTCGTTTTGAGTGAATCAGTGGAGAAACATGATCGTAATGTGTATGAACTGGGTGGCGAGGCTTTGAGCCACGAAGAACGAGCAGCTGTGTTCGGTCGCGTGCTTGGCAAACCGATCACCTGTGAACAACAATCGTTCGAAGCCTTTTACAAAGCACTTACTGATCATGGCATGTCGCATTCAATCGTACACAATTTTGCAATGGGCGCTTCGAAAGACATTTGTGATACTACCACCCCACAAATCTCCATTCTCATCGGTCGGCCGTTACACACCCTTGAAGAATGGCTCAAAGACAACGTTAAAGCATTTCAATAGAATCCGTCTCATACAGCATTAGTGACATAGCATTCTCTTTATTTCTATGAAAATAAAATTTCCAGCACCTACTCTTCTCCAATACTGATGCTCGAACCCAATCCGCAACAGGATGCATCTTTCTAGACTCGTCCAAAACCAATCCATAAAAGTATCTGTCGTTAGTTGATTAGTTCTAAAGTGAAATTTTTCCAATACGTATGTTTGCTCAGCCATTTGATGAAACTCGTCATTGCTATCGAAATAGTAGGATTGAATGTGGACGGTGCGGTTTTGTAAGGAGTGAAGAATCTCTTCGCTGTCAAGATAGCCATTGAGGAAATGTTCGAGAGATCGAAATACCGAACAAAATTTCGTTCGAAATTGATTAGGCAAACAATCACGTTTCATTGCCAGCTAACGGATTTGCACATAGGTGAAATAGAATAATCTGCGCAGATGATTGGGAAAAGAGGAGATGGTCAAACGAGTCAGACGAGGTGCCATGTGCAGAAGTTCAGTGAAGATCGAATTATAAATGCGATGCGTGTCTCGTTTCAAGGCGTCGAGTCTCCGCTCATGTCGACAATGAATAATCAGAGGTGTCTTAAATTTTTCCTTTTTATCCGCGGCTGTAGTAGCCGCATGTGGTTTCTGAATTTGTTCATCGTTTTGAATTTCAGTTTCAAGACGGACTTTTTTAGGCGCTTTTCGTTGCCTTCATCTGATTGGCGCTGAATTGTTGCTGTAATTTGTAACGTATAGAAAGATAGTCTTTCTCAGTGTCTGTTACAGGCATACCCCCATATGCCTGTCCATTCTCCCAGTATCGATGGCTGCTCATTCCATTCACATTCTTTCCTGCTTTTCTTATCTCATTGTTTCGTCTTTCGTTTGGTTGAATTCATTCGAGGAGTGAACGAATAAAGGAAAGGGACCTCTGATAGTGTCGACCATCGGCAACAAGGGCGTTGTCAAGCACATGTACTCTCGAAGAAAAGCCGAAACTGTGCATCGATGTATGTAGATGAATACCGAATTGTTGAGGGATGGCAGAATTCTCAACAAGCAGAATTCAAGAGCTCTGTACTATATATCAGCCCATTAGTGGGTTGATCTCATAACTGATAGCAGAGTTCTCTTGAGAATTCTCATTTCTCACGAGAATTCAGATAGAATTCTAGCTTCCCTCGAGCATTCTGTTCACTTCTAGCACTTCTCTCTGGTCGATCAAACAGAGTTCTCCTGAGAATTCTGCTTTTATACGAGAATTCAGACGGAATTCTAGATTCAAACGAGCATTCTGTTCACTTATATCACTTCGCTCTGGCCGATCAAGCAGAGTTCTTTTCTTTTACAAGTATAATGTTCATTGCCCTCCGATTCACTTATTCTCTAGACTAATAGGATAGAGTCTGTCAGACGGTAAAGAAAGCTTTTGTCTGTCTGTCTGTAACACATTTTTACAAATTCTAATTTATTTCATTTTTTTAAATTCTAATTTATTTTATTTTGTATAATTCGGTTTCTTTGATTGTATTGTTGATACATACATCGGCATATATATACTTCCAACGTGTTCGTTTTTTTAACAGACATCTTAATAAGTGGAGACATTTTTCGGTTTAAAGAATAAAATCAGAAAGTAACAAATTTTATATTTTCATCAAATGTTCATCTTTTTTATATTCAAGGAGGCGAGTGCTCACTGTAAACTTATTTTGTATTGCACCAACTTCGCGAATTAATATTACACTAATTAGAATAGACTCAGTTCCATCTCAACTCGTGCACTTTATACGAAATACGACACTTTTTTATACGACACTCGCCTTTTGAATAAAGACGAAACGTCTCTAATAGAAAATAGTCTATT